AAAAATGGTTTCTGTATTTTTTCGGGATTTAAAAATCTTGCTTTCTACGAGCTAAAGAAAGTGAAATTCAGGTGAGGGTACTCGCATCAGCCAGTAGGCTGTGAGCCATCGCATTCGTCGCCCCTTTTTCTGGATGAGAGTTCGACTCAGCCAATGGACTGGGTCCTCTGAAGGTAGTTGCTCGTGTATTTCTGCACATTAAAAAAACAAAAGAATGAGGGCGGGAAGCTTCAAAAACACCCCATGGGTTAAAAAAAAAAAAAAAAAAAAAAAAAAAAAAAAACCCCAAAAAAAAAAAAAAAAAAAAAAAAAAAAAAAAAAAAAAAAAAAAAAAAAAAAAAAAAAAAAAAAAAAGACACCCCATGGGTAAAGAAAGCATAGAATTGAATCTTCCACCCAACGAAAGTGGCCAACAAAAACAACACCAAAATAATTTTAAATCATCCTAATAGCCGAACGAAACTACCCTACACGAAACTGAGGCCAAACAACGCTGGGCCTGGATCTGCAGCCGATCGACGACTGAGACCTGTCACAGAACGTCCCACGTCGTCAAAAACCTGGCCGCGAAGCGTAACTCTTCACTAGTCGGACTTGGCCCCTGGGGAGTACGCTCGCAAGAGTGAAACTCAAAAGGAATTGACGGGGGCCCAATACATTGAAAGATGTAAATTGAGTTCCAAAAGGTAAAAACCCTTTTCCGAGAATGTCTACGGTTCAAATCCGTATAGCCCTATTTTGGTTTATTGTTTATGAATCCTATTCAAAGGAATAGCAAAATCGTCTCTATGATAAACCAACGACTTCGATACGTTACGCACGTCAAGTGCGCAGCATGTTTTTCGCATCGTTGATCATAGAGACCATCACGGTAGAATCAGTGCCTGAGGTGAAGTCGTAACAAGGTAGCCGTTTTGGACCATTTATCGATTTATGCAAGTCATCCTTCCTCTGCAGGGGCCATTTGCTATTTTGCCCTTCTCTGTATCATTCCAATTTCTACGGATGTCCCGAAGCAACACTGAAAATGTCAATTACCCGGGCCGATCAAATGGATGATGATATCCATCTCAAGATCGTCCCATTGTAGACCCTTATGCCCCTACTTATTTCACGGAAGAACGGTAAGCTTCAGAAATAAATGGGCAGTGATACATATACTGATTTCAAACAAAGAGAAGAAAGAGTGTTAAAACAAGAAAGGATCCTCACTTCCTGACGACATGGCAATGCAGCAATCAAGAAGAGGTGCATTCTCTGTTCATCCGCCTGCCAATCCTAAACAGATTGTACTGTCCAATCCTCCGACAACATTGTGAATACCAAACGCAAAGACATAGCAGTTCAACGCAGTGGGTCAAAAGGTGAAAGCTCAGGACTTGAAAGCGATCACGACACACACACCGTACATGGGAATGTGAGACCTGAAAACAATCAAGGATGCCGGGCATCCACCGAGCGCCCTCGTAGAATGGAAATAATCCCCCAAGTTCATGGCACAAAGGTCCCACCCATCGAGTAGCAACTTAGCAAGCAGTGGCTATGGGCACCACTCTCACACACAACCCACTCACAAACTCGCACTCGTGTTAATCATAGACCCTAATAGTACCGATCAGGGGTATCGGACAGTCGATCCCGCACGCTGTCATGGGGTTCAAACCCACAACCTCCTGAATGCCACTCACATGCCTAACCAACTGACCTACCTAGGCTGCTACCGTCTCCCCCCGAACATAACGCACCCTGACAACGAACGTATCAACGCTTAGCTACAGGCTTGCTCTTGCACCACTGCTGTGGTGCCAACCTCCCGTCTTTCCCCGAACACAACGCACCTTCATTTTGCCTGTATCTAACCGGTAGTACCAATTTGGCCAGAGAGAGATCCGTGTTGGTTGGTGTTCCCCGGTACTATACATAAACTAGCGAGAGGATGAGATAGATGCATACTACCACGAAGATGAGGTAGATGACAGAAAACTGTAGATACCTGAAAAAGAAAAAGAAAAAGAAAAAGCAAAAAAAAGAACTGGCGGTGAAAAAAACAAAAAATGGTCCTCGCTGCACTCACCACATGCACAAAGACAAAAAAATACGCCGGTGAACCTTTCACGTTAAAAAAATATATATACAAAATAATTACAAAAAAAAGAATCTTTCAGGTTCTTCCAGAGGGTTCATTCTCATTTTGACTCACAGTTCTTGAATAGCGGAGCCAGGCCCAACTACCGGGATTTAGAAGACAGCCATCGAAACGACAAAAAGCAACAAAATCAGTCGAGCATCAATTTTTTGCATAGAAAAAATATTGATTAACAAAATAATTTATTGCGTGCTTCATCAACTTGCTCGATTGATCAGAACTTCTGTTTTTTGGGTTGGTTTTGGATTTTTGTAAAGCTCTGCTGAGAAAAAACAGATGAATAAGAGTTCTTTTAGGAAAATGGTGTATAACACAAAAAGCAACAATATCAGTCGAGAATCTACAGAAAAAAAACTAACAAAAACATTTGTCTACGATCATAACAATGTGTCGTAGTCCTTGGCAAACACTTCTTAGTCCTCGAGGCACGACATTGTCGAAATACACCAGTGACACCACAGACCGTCTTTCCTCAGTATAAAACGCACTGTCATTACTATGACCATAACCTTGTGCACTCGATTCATCTACGGCAAAAATAGCCGTTCGTTATATTCGGGGGCAGAATGGCAACAAGTCATACAACCGGCGATTTGTCCAAAATCCAATCATCGACCGACTTTGATTAGAAAGCCTGATAGCATGATTCAAGAACGTGCCCGTGGGAAACTGCCAAGGCATCCACCCAATGCATTATTTTGGATATAGCAGGGCCCTTCGCTACTTAAATTTCCCCCCTCCTGCGTCACAATTCTTCGTCGTGTAATAATAATTCCTCACACGAAAAATCTTAAGTTCTTGGACTATTTTTCGATTGATATTATGATCACACGCCTAGACTACAAAATTCTCATTTGACCCTGAGAGTGGCCCGGACCCACTCTCAGGCCCACTTGCCCGGCCAGAATGTTTTCATTTTTAATTTCATACAAAATTCCCATTTGACCCTGAAAGAAAGGGTGTACACTGCACAGTTCATTGTTCCGCACAAAGTGTGCACAGTTCATTGTTCTGCACAAAGTACTCTTTCTTCAGACTTTTCGGACCTTGACCTGACTCTTGCCCGGCCGGGCCGCCCGGGCAACCAAGGTGACCCCGGGCGGCCCAGTTCGTACCCCAGGAACACGCACAATAAACTGGACGAGATACTAAATGAAAATACAATACAATAAAAATACGGCACGGTTCGTAAAATAGAAGTGATTCAAAATACGACGGCACAGTGAAATGGGAGAAATAAATACGGTGTATATAACATTCAGCACACTGATTGGGCAAAATGCCACCATCAGTGGCTTGCTTGGAGGCTGCCACGCACCGGATAAAATCAGCGCCGCCGTGGGGTTAACTTTTCGCGAACGACCGGCAACTGGACGGTGCACAAGACCGTTAACTGGACGGTGCAAAGGACCTGTCGCTGAGCCAGCAGCCGCAATCGAGCGCACTCAAGAACGGAAAAGACACGTACTTTGCAAAACACACACACACACACCACATGTAAAACTCCTTGATTACATGTGGTGTGTGTGTGGGGCGTGACACACAAACCCGTACTTGAATCACGGAGACAGCTGGATGCGCAACGACAGGCCAGCTTGCATATCCACTCTTGCTCTTGCCAATTAATACCTACAGACGAAATCAACGCGCGGAACTATAACAGAGTTCATCGGTGCACTCTACCAATGCCTCGATCCAGTCGCATTCCACAGGCTAGTGATGAGCCGACAGAGATATCAACTACGCTCACCCACCCCACGTTGCGCATCCAGCTTGGTCTCCATCATGCAAGTATACAAGGTCTCCGTCATGCAAGTATACACAAGCACATTACTCCGCTCAACTCGAATTGCGCGGGTACTCTTCCAGAGTTTTTAGACGAAAGCAGTTGTTGCTATGAGCAACACCGTTGTACGGGGTCTCTCTCCCTGGCGGAGACAATCGAGACGTCAGCAGGTGTCCCTACATGCCATCATTCACGAAATATAACGCACACACATTATATCTGCATTCGGGACAACTGCCGCACAGTTCCGATCCCGACCTGCCACAGAACATTCCAAGATGCAGAGATGCTGGCCGTGCATTTTTTTCCGTTCTATCAAAAGGGAAAACCGTCGCAGTCCCTACAACCTGAAGAAAATCGGGACAGAAGTCCCACCTCCCAGAAGCTCAGGAGAAGAAACCCACACCACCGCCTTTCCCAGAGCACAACTCACCCTGATAACGATTGTTTACAAGCTACCTTTCCTGTGCAGCAAAAGTGAGGGTGCGTTGTGTTCGGGGGAAGACGGTAGATATTCCCGGCGAACTGGATCTCACCGTCACTGGGGTGACGTACAGTTTGAAATGTCGAGGAGAGGAGAGAGGACTATACCCCAAAGAATATCCTTACAGCAAAAGGGTTTTTCAACATTTTACCACAGCACAATATCGGAAGCATCACCGTATTTCACGAAATTAAAGAAAAAAAGAAAACATCATTCGCATTACCTATCAATTGACAAAAAAATCAATCAAAATAGGCAAGGCAATCGCTTCGCAGACGGTGAGCCCACGCATCAGCAAGCAGCCCTTCAAGAGCACAACGGTCACATTGCGGAGTACGTAGGGAAGGTTCAGCACTGTCATCCTTATCAAAGTCAGACGACTTTCAGGATAATACAAGCCTCACAATGACATACACAACACAAACGACTGACGGGAAAAAAAAAAAGTGATTTAAGCCGTCGACAAAACCATCCATTACATTCGATCAAGGGCAAATACAAGACTTCACAACGACATCGTACAGCAGCACAAAGGACTGGCGTAAAAACAAAGAGGGATTCGAGCCCTCGACAAAACCATCCACTGCATCCAGTACATTTGATTGGGGGCAAATACAGGCATAACAATGACATCGTACAGCACAAACGACTGACGTGAAAAAGAGGGATTCAAACCCTCGACAAAACCGCGCATCACATTTGATTGAGGGCATGACAAGAGACATGATGCCAACATACCAGATCATGAACTACATCAAAGATTGCTCTGAGAAGATCCGTGAAGTCGATACATGTGATTGGGGGGCAAATACAGGCCTAACACTGACATCGTACAGCACAAACGACTGGCGTAAAAAAGAGGGATTCAAACCCTGGACAAAAAAACGCAGCACATTTAATCGAGGGCAAAGACAAGACACATGATGTCTTCATACCAGACATGAATTACAGCAAAGATTGCTCTGAGAAGGTCCGTGAAGTGAGAGCCAGTACGCGAAGAATCCAGAAGCTCTTTGGAAACGAGGCAACCACCCTTTCCACCTAAAAAACCGTTGGGAAACCCACCAATGGATCGGGACTAAGGTTCCCGAAAAAGGAATGTCCAGCTTAAGATTTCGACAATCCTCTCACGTTCTTGTCACTAATCATCACAGCAACAGAGTAGATCGCACAGCCGACTGTCTTTCTCACACACTGCCATCCGCATCTAGCACTTTCACTTTCATCCTCCAAACCCTAAATACAATTTCCAAACTACCCTGGACACGTCGCTGGCTTGCCAGATACAGGATTGGCGGCAGTAGCGGGCAACGGACTCCCTTGCTCCCACCGCCGGAACGAACGCGCGTATCTCTGCGACCCAAACTTAGGCTCTCAACGACACAGAACTTCAGCTCCCACGTCGGCCTCCAGCTTCGTGGATTGCATCCCTGATTTCGCAGGCATCTCCTTCCTATCCCCCCATCTTGCTCTCCCATTCTCTCTCATTTTTTAGATGATACCGATCTTGTTCGCGATGTCCAGCGCATCGTAATCCGGCGTTAATCGCACGTAAGCCTTCTTCTGTCCGTCCGGCCTGAATATCAATAAATACACCATCACACGCCAGCAAAACAATCAATCAATACCCCATCACACGATAGCAAAACAATCAATGCATACCCCAACACACGACAGCAAAGCAAACGAGGTATAGAGTTGCAGAGCACAGACAACGTGAGCAACTATTCCTTGCGTGTGAAATTTCCACAGAGAAGTGATAAAAAAGACACCGGCAACTTCTCCATTTCCAAAGGAACTCGAAACAGCTGCTTGAGCCGCAGCCACTCTTGTTTCCCTTTCCGCCGCATGGACTTTTCCTGCAGAGCGAACAATATGCCTGATAGCGACCCAAACACAACGAAATACTTTTCTTCTCATTATCCAGAAACGATAACGGAAGGACGACAGCAAACCCTTTGAAAGCCCACCGACAACGACAACACCGCAAGTGCATTCATTTGAAAAATTTAAACTCGGAGTAACGAAGAATAAAACAATAAAAGAGAAAGCTTCTGCGATACAAGAATAATTGCCAGTATTGAAAATTATAGAGTACCCAAAACAATGCTATCTATAACATTCCAAATTTCCGCTCTCAGTTCTGCGTTCCTGCTTCGTTCGACATTTCCATTTTCATCCGCGTAGTATAAGATGTGTACCGGACTCGAATACCAAATCCTCCATTGTGGCAAAATCGCCTGTGCGTTCATCTTTCACCACTAGGACACGTAAAGACAGAGACCAAGAGTAGCTCAAAATCGAAAGCGCACTTCGAAAAGAAAAAACAAAATAAATATGCACTGCTTGCTGCTTTCACTACAAAAGGTACACTAGCATGTTGGCGCTTGTACAGTCGCAATCAAGGTCGCAGTTTTGACTCTCGCTCAATCAAATTTTGAGGTGGCGATAGAATTGTGACTAAGTGCTACGCATTACGACGCAGAATTTTCACAATGAAAAAATGATTCCCACATCATACACCCCATAATCATGTTTCCGTTTCATAACTGAGTCTTCACCCGAATATAAGGGCCGGTTATTTCCGCTGTGAATCTGGACTGAAAATGGCCCCAAATACAGGTATAACGACCGAACCGTTTGTTCTCTTCGACATAAGACGGTAGTGAAAACCATACTGTTCGCTCGATATGATGTGTAATTCGCGTCATCCTCAAAATGAACACCCCACCGGCCCCTTCAATCGTACCTCATTAACATTTTGAATTTCCGAAAACCTAAAAATATTGCGGCCTCCTCTCTCTCTCACCCATCCATCCAGCAGTCAGTCCCTCTATTACATCACAACCCTTGATCATGTTTCCTTCGTTTTCCACAACTCATCCTTCACTAAATCAAACTGCCTTCTCTACCAGTAAACGGCATCCGCGAAATAATCAAGCCGTGAATTGTTTTCTCAAAAAGAGATTAACGACTCCAGAAATTATAATCGCGTTAGAGAAACGACTGAAGTTCGAACAGGCAAATACTTAAACATCGGTATTAAATTAGATGATGACGGCGTATTTTCAGTAACCCGTGTCCGTTCTCTCCTCTGCTTAGTGTGTTCTCGGAATGCTTTTCTTCGATGCTCACGAACATCGAGATCGGATTGTTAACGCGCCCGATCAGAATAATCGACATGAAAACACTTACACACTTTAGCCCGATCAGAATAATCTCCAACCCGTACCCGCCCTCCCTTTCGGCCAATTGAGCTTTACACTACACGTGATGGGTTACATAGCCTAGAGAGCCTCGCTCAGCCCCTTCCCAACCCCCAACCCCCCACCTACCAATTGCGCATTCCACGTGGTAGCATATAAAAATATATTTTTTAGACTTACCGGATAAGCGTGTTGACTTTCTTGCACTGGATATCGTACATCCTCTTCACAGCGTCGGAAATCATTTTCTTGTTGGCTCTCACGTCGACAATAAACACAAGCGTGTTGTTGTCTTCGATTTTCTTCATGGCCGATTCAGTCGTGAGAGGGTACTTGAGCACTTGGAAGTGGTCAAGATGATTGCGCCGAGGCGCGGAGTGGAGAGGGTACTTAGGGTTTCTTGCGCGCTTGAGAGTTTTGGGACGATGAAAGACGACGGACGTCCGGCGTTTCCGCTGCTTCTTCGTCACAACCTTCTTCAAAGCTTTCGCGGCGTTCACCGCCTTCGTCTTCGCGTCCACGATCTTCTTCTCTGGAAGGTATGGTCACACACACCAACAGACAGCGCGTTCGTCAGACACAGACATACCATTGGGCAACAGCAGCACATGAAGAAAAAGAAGAAATGGAAGAAGAAGTGACGAGCAGCACTTCAGACTCGCGTCACTCAACCAAACAACGAATCTCTCTCTATCCTTCCAAAACTCTCAGTACCGATAAGAAGGGACACAGCGGCAATGGCTCAAGTTCCACATCGAGGTAAGAACAAACCTGACAGGTTTCGATGATGGCAACGGTAATGAGAGAGGAGAAGCCAAGTGAGAGAAGAGGGCGTAGGAGACACCCTAGGGCGATACCAGAGGGAAACGAGGCAACAAAGAGAATTATGTGAGACGCAAAATGATAGTAAAAGGAGAGGCCCTAGTGACCTGAGGTGAAGGAGTTCGCGCCACTTAGAAAGGAAAAGGGAAAAAACGGTGTCAATCTCTCTCGGTTCATCGGTGTCTAACGCCGAAGGACTGACAAATTAGGTCGTTCAATACTGCACGAAAGGGGAAGTAGCGTCCGCTCTGCGGATGACGAGAAAACAACAGAGTATGGAAAGGTGGAAGGGTTCAAGAGGAACTGGGGAGACGATTGGCGGTAACATTGCAAAAAATATCTGGATTAGGGCATAATGAACGAAGAGCAAAATTAGGGAAATGATGGGTCAGAGATTGTCCGCACGCCATCAGCAGCGACTTCTGAGCCTTCATTGGTACACGGCCACATGCCCGTCCAGAGTAGAGTAACCCCTCGGTGACATTTGCCGTGCCCCATCGCCATGGCCACCTGACCAGGGTGCAAAGCCAACCTCCACGCCTCACTGACCAAGGGATGATTGATTGGCCAAATAGTCCGAGAAGGTAGGCAATACTACCAGATCATGGAGATTTATATCGGTTGTGCGGGGAATAAAGAACATAACAGACGCTCGAGATGGGTAAACGGGGACATGATGAGAGATTGTTTGCATGCCAACCAGTCGTCCAAAGTGAGACCTATCTTAAGCGAAAAGTGCCAAAGAAAGACGACAGCAGAGAGGACAGGCAACGAGTGGCGGCAAACACACACACACAAACACACCACGGCCAAGCGGCTATGGGTCTAAGCGTAAGTACCAGAGGATAGACATCAAAACCGAGGATAGAGGCAACGAGAGGCGGAAGACATACACACACACACACACACACAACACAAACACACACCACACACACACAACACGACCAAGCGGATATGGTTCTACGCATAAGTACAAGATAAGATATTAAAAGCAGTTCCTCAATGTCGTTTCAGGAGCTGGCAGACAGAGCACGTGACACAGAGGAGCCAGGGCACAGAAGGCGACAGGCGCACATACACAGCACGAAAAAACGGTCTTTCCAAGGAGGCGGAGCCTTGGCGGCACACACAGACGGAGGGAGACGAGCAGAAGCGGAGGAAGTCGGACAGGAAGAGACAGCAAATTTGAAAGGAGATTAAGTGGGAAAGAAAGGGGCGGTAGGAGAAACGTGATGAGACTCGGGGAACTGGTGAGAGAATTGAGCAATGAAAGAGGGAGAAGGTAGAGAAGGGATCGAAAAGGAGGGTATGACAGAGACGAGTGCGATGTGAGAAAGAGAAGGGTAAAATATATGACGAGAAGCAAGAGATAGACAAGGAAAAGAGGTGAAAAGAAGAGACGCTATGAGAAAGGGACGTTGAGACATGGAGTCAATGAGGACGGTGACGCCGGGAACACAAGACACGGAGGCATTGACGAAAAGGGAGAGAGAAGATGCGCTAGAAAGGCAAGAGACTTGGCCGACAGAAACAAAGTATCGAGGATAATGCAAAGTCGTTTGGGATGAAAGGAGAATGAGATATGGCGGGAGATGGGGGGAGATGCGGGGAGATGGGGGGAGATGGGGACAGATGGGGAAAGATGGGGGGGATATGGTCCAGACAGCGAGATCGAGAGAGATGGTTGACAGGTGTCCAATGTGTTAAGAGCGGGGTACCAACCTTTGCTCTGTGGAGGAGCCATGGCGACCGCCTGATTCTACCCGCACTCCGTTCCTAGCGCCGCAGCAGCGAACTACCCAACCTTCCTACCCACCTTGCGCTGAGCAAGATCGAAGAGGGAAGAAGGGGGAGCGATTGTTCAAGTCATACCGTACCACCGCGGGCTGGACGGTTCGCTCAGAAACAACTTTTTTTTTTTTTTTTTCAGAATTTGGGCCTGTTTTCCGCAATTTTTTAGATTTGGTACTTTTCCGTGGAGCCAAGGCTGTCTAGCCCGGCAAAGGGGGAAAAGAAGCCCCCGACTCACCCAACACTTTCTGCTGAAGTCCTGAACGGACCACGAGGCCAAGGAATTGGCCCATGCCCGACTGAACAATGCCTACCCAGGTCTAAGGGCTACGTAATTGGTCCAATACCCCTCCAGAGCACCCTAACCTCATACTACCTAGGTCTAAGGGCCAAGTAATCGGTCTAATAGTCCTCCAGAGCATCCTAACTCATTTCCAATAATAAGGTATGCGTCTGTCCCTCCACCCGTCAGCCTCAACAGCTCCTCCTGCTATTTTCGCACTAGTGTTCAGGTCACCTCCGGAGGGGACCTTGAAATTCCTTGAGAAGGGAGGATCGACAAATAACTTGAGTTCCACAACCACCGGAGTTCCCATTTTTGTTCCATGGCCACAGGACTTTTGCGGTATGAACCCTCACCAACTCATTCAATGGTGGGAGTGGAACAAAAATTGTCTTAGTACAAATTAATCTCATTTGGCATTCAAGGGTGACACTAGAGTTTCAAGTATTTTCAATGGAATATACATATTCAATCTAAATTGTACTCTACTGCTGGCTGTTTGAGTTTTTGCAAAGACCTCGATCATTTCAGTAAGCTTCCTACTTAGGTCAAGCTACAAAGCACTAACATGATCCGTCTCCTAACCAAGTGTTCACTAAGTATGCTCAACTATCATGCGAGAAGACACGTCGACAACATTGTTGTAGATAGCAGCGGGGATGCACAACATAAAGGTTTGTTGTATGCAAAAGTGCCCAATTGGCACATTTTGGGTAATAAGAGTCGGACCCTGTTCATATTGTATCCATAATTTGGTTGTAAGCCTAACAAGATTCATATCACAGCCGCTTAGCACCAATATAGATTTAAGGAGCTTGATCCTTACTGCGTGATATTAGCCTAACTACAACCCTAAGCAGCAAGCATTATTTATATCATGTCTCTTATAATGATATATATTGGAGTAAGGCAAACACATGATTGTGTATGCCCGCAATCACCTTTTCCACCACATTTTTCAAAATAAAACGGTTTAAAATGAACTCTTGCGTTCGGTACATGCATAAGCAGATTCAACAGTTCAAACGATGACTACAAAATCTCATAGCCAAAAAGTAAGGTATTTTACGGTGAGTTATTTGTTCGTCAAACTTGTAGTGTTAATTTATATTGACATTTCAAACTCGTAGTGTTAATTTAGCTTCATATAATGATACACATACATCTACATATACGACCATTCGTACACATGTATAGACATATACATAAATAAAGAGAGCAGGGAGAAAAAAAAAAAAAAAAAAGGGAATATTAAGTTTCTCTCTCGCTGAGAGATGCGAGAGGGAAAAAAAAATGGATTCTCTCTCGTTACTTTATTTATTTATTTTTAGAGAAAAATATAAACAAATTTATTTTATCTTTCTCACAAACATACACATGTACAAACACTACTAATCAAGTAATCAATTATTTAATCAATCAATTTATTAATAATGTAATAATAATACATCACTCAACATACATCCACATACATGCAGACTCATACAAAAAGTCATTATTAACATTCGAAAATCTATAATATTTGCTCTTGTTTTTTTTATTTTTTTCATAGAAAAAAAATTGAAGTCATTTGGCTCAACCAAATAGGAGTTAAAAATCGTCAAAGATGGCGATATCAAAACGTGCTCGCCCACGTTTTTTTTCACTTTACTTTTTGTTTTCATTTTATTTCGAGGTCTGAAACTTTTTTAGTGGGTTTTACATATGTGAAATATACATCTGTAAATTTTCAGGGCATTTAGCTATGACAAGAAAAATGAAAAATTGCCAAAGATGGCAGCGTCGAAAACGTGCTCGCGCACTCACTAAATTTAATTAATTAATTTTTTTATAATATAAATTTATTTTTATTATTAGTATTTATTTTTTGTATTTTATTTTTATTTGAAATTTGGTAAGGAATTTGGATGTAATGCTCTGAGAAATCTTATTTAATTTATTTTTCTTCTTAACTTTTTTTTTTTTTTTTTTTGGGA